CCTTATTTTAAGATCTCAGGCAAAAAGACATGTTAGCATCACTCCTGTTGATGGATTGGATTCCAGTGGGTCAAGTGCTCCTGGTACCAACTAACTGTGGCAGTGAAGGGATAGAGTCACATGGAACAAGCTAGGTGCAGGCTGCCACAGCTCAGGTGCACCCAGTCTTCAGAGAGGAGGAGTGAAGGTGGAGCACTTTCCCCAAAACATGTGCACTTCCTCCCATCTCTGTCAGAGACTAAGAGGCCGGAGGGAGTAACCAAATTCTTGGGTTCAGCCTGTGGTAAAGTCCTCTGTACTTTATGTCCTTGGGTTCCATGAGCTATGATGCATATTTATACTTTAGATCCCTTTTGTGATTAAGGTAATTTAAGTGGATTTCTATTATGTGCACACAACCTGAGTGAATAGTTTATTTGGATAGCTAGTCCAACATCTAACAAGATCCTACAGGAGTTGACTCAAGTTGACTCAAATCTGCAACACATTTTTTTCTTTCTACAACCCTTCCCCTAACTTACACATACATTTCTAAATTTCTTAACTTGGAGTCTGGATTAAGGTAATTTAAAAAGGTAAAGCATGTATTTTCATGCTTTTGCTCAAATGTTCCCAGGTCTCCAGGGACCAGAAAGTTTGTTATTGTTTTAAAGTTTTTTGGGGTGGTTTTTTTTTGGCTTTTTTTTTTTTTTGCATTCCTTATTGATGGCTGTGGCGAAATGAGTCCTAAAGAAGTGGGACCTAATAAAACAAAGTTTCACCTCCACCCTTTACCGCTGAGAAAAGTGATCCCGGGAAGGAGAAGAGAGTCCCTAGAGTCACAAGATGAATGAGTCACTGGTCATTGGAAGCCCTGTGTATACTGCTTCCTTGTTCAAGTTAAGTATAGGGCTCCTCCCTTCAATCTCTGTGCCCCCTCCCATCTTCCCATCACTTACTTCTCCACCCCAGAAATAATAATAAAAGTAGCAACAGCAACAGCAGTGATAACAAGAACTAACAACATGTGTTCAGTGCCCACAGTGTATGGGAACATAAGTTCTTCACACACATTATTACACACACACACACACACACACACACACACACACATTCATCTTATAGATGAGGAAGCAGATTATTAAAGTTTCAAGTAACAAATAGTGTCAAGTAACACAAATAGTAAGGGGGAGGTTCTTTTTATATTCTGTTAATCCTCACAGAGGATATTTTTTCTCTTTAATTTTTAGAGAGAATGGAAGAAGGGGAGAGGTAGGAGAGAGAGACTTCATCATTCAGTCTCACAAATCCTAAGCCGAGGCCAGGGATCGAACCTGCAGCCTAGGTACAAGCCTTTACTAGGAATCAAACCCGTGACCCTTCCTTGGGCAGGATGGTGCTCTAACCACTAAGAAACACTGATCTCCCTGCTAAAAGTCCTCAGAGTATTCTGTATTTTTTCTCAGGATCCTGAGATGGTTGGTGATTATCTGTTCTGTTTGTGGAATGCAGGTGTCTTCCCAGCAGAATGAAGCACACTGCGAGAACTGTACTCACTAATGTTTGACTTAAGCCAGAAAGCACATGAGTGACTTGCAGGTATCAAATTAGATATTCTACTAAAACAAAGATTTCTCAAAAACCAGTAACTAGACATTTGATTTGGAGGCTTCACATTTCATACCTTTACCAAATGACAAAAGTAAAAGCTTGAAACACTCTAATTCCCTAGTGTGGCTGAGCAGAACGTATCCGGCCTTTTATTGTTCTAGTATGTGTTTTCATGCTTTTGCCCAAATGCTCAGAGTTTTTACCAGGACAGTCTTTCTGCCCCTGACTTGATAGCCAGACAGAAAGGATTTGTAACCATCAAAGGGAGGTTACTGGTCACTGTTAATATTTTTGTGATTTAAATTAGTTCATGAAGGAAAACACTCAGTTACTCATTCAAAAAAGGAAATAAACAAAAACAAACAATCAAAGCAAAGCTCTTCTAATCCTCACTTTCTAGCTTAAAGTAGCTCCATTCATTTAACCTTTCATTTTTATGTCCTGTTTTCTAATTCTTTAATACATATTGCTTTTCTCTTACTTCTCATCAAACACTTAATAACTCAAAATGTGTAGTACTGAACACCAAATAAAAAGCCAATATTAGCCCTAACCGGTTTGGCTTGGTGGATAGAGCATTGGCCTGTGGACTGAAGGGCCCCAGGTTCAACTCCAGTCAAGGGCATGTACCTTGGTTGAGGGCAATTCCCTAGTAGGAGGTGTGTAGGAGGCAGCTGATCAATGTTTCACTCCCACTGATGTTTCTAACTGTCTATCCTTCTCTCTTCCTCTCTGTAAAAAAAAAAAATCAATAAAAAATATATTTTAAAAAAGGCAATATTAGACCTAATATGTGTTGAGTGACTGAAACAGAGTAGGAATAAGGTCTCTTTCCATTAGGCATGTTCCAATGCCTCCACATCTGCCTCACTAAGACTTGGCCAGAGTTTATTCTGCTGACAGCTAGAATTCATTCTCCTATGGTGATGTTTAACATCATCGCCGGCTACGGTGCTACTTCGGAAAGGGTTTTGTGCTAAGGAAATAATGTATATGCAGTAGAATTGCATTTTGTAAAAAGCCAGGAGCTCAGCCTGTCACCAACCCACTTTATGATCTGGATCAAGCTCCCTGTATCTTAGTTTCCTCCTCTCTAGATGAAGACTGAAGTTTGAGACTGGATAGTTTCAACAGTTCAACAGAGTTAACAAGGTGACACAAGTATCATTGCTCATCATGTCTAAAAAGCTTATTCTACTGTCAGGCTTTTGAAAATATACAACAAATACATTTAGATATTCCTTCGGGGTTGCTCCATGATTCAGTTTGATGAATTCTACACAAAGGAGTAAAACATTTTCTAGAAAGATGCTATAGAAATCTGACACTTGGAGGAGCTGTGGAATTATCCTATATAATAAAGAGCTAATATGCAAATGGTCATCATGCCCTCACGCCATCATGCCATAACAGCTCATACACTCAACTCTGGGAGAGAGGAATGGGGACCAGCCAGGCTGCAGCCCGGGAGAGGGACAAGCCGCATGCCCCACAGTCCCTTGCTGCTCTGGCCAGCCCAGGCAAAGCCAGCCTGGGTCCAGGGTACCTGTGGCCGGCCAGAGGGAGGGAAGCCCAGGTCCTAGTGCCTGTGACCAGCTGGAGGAGGGAATCCTGGGTCCTGGGTGCAGGCAAGGCAGAAATGGTTAGGGGAGATCAGGCCAGAGGGGGAGCAGTTAGGGGCAATTAGGCAAGCAGAGGGGTTAAGGGTGATCAGGCAGGCAGGTGAGTGGTTAGGAGCCAGATTGCAAGAGGCAATTGGACATCCCCTGAGGGGTCCTGGATTGGAGAGGGTGCAGGTCGGGCTGAGGGACCCCTCCTCCTCTTCCTCCCCCATGCATGAATTTCATGCACTGAACCTCTAGTACAGCGGTTCTCAACCTGTGTGTATTGACACCTTTGGGGGTTGAATGACCCTTTCACAGGGTTTGCCTAAGACTATCAGAAAACACATATATAATTACATCTTGTTTTTGTGATTAATCACTATGGTTTAATTATGTTCAATTTGTAATAATGAAATTGGGGGTCACCACAACATGAGGAACTGTATTAAAGGGTTGTGGCATTAGGAAGGCTAAGAACCACTGCTCTAGTAGGTAATAGTCAGCTAATCCTATTTCAAAATATGTTGTTATGTCATTTATAAGACTGACTTTTTAAAAAGGAAGATTTTAAATGGTTATAAGGTACACAGAGATGGTAAGGGAGAGGGAGAGGTCATAAACTGTGAACTTACCATCACCAATGAGAAGGGTTTGCATTACTCAGGGATCTAGGAATTAGCAGGACAGCCTATGAGGGGCTTCAGGCGTAAGGGAAGTGTGAAGCTCTTAAAAACCATGTTCTGATTAAGAATGTGCTTGCATGGAAAAGATAAAGCTCCTAGTGAAGATTAAATTGGAGTCCACCTTGGGAGAACATTTAGTCACAAAGGAAAATAGCATGTTTTACAGCATGAAGGACACATTGAAATCCTGAATTAAAAGAGCTCAAAGAAAAAGGGTTTGGAGGCAGATGAAAGCATGTGGCTTTTTCAACTGTCCCAACCAGGGACTTTCGGGGAATATGGACATGGCATAAGTAGGGATTTCCCTCTCTTCAACTGACATCATGAGTCCCGAAGGGAGATATACCTGAAGCTGCTGTGGCCATCTTTGCCACTGTATGGAGCGTCTCTGTCTGGGTGTAAAGACCACATATTGTAAAACATTGTTTCTTAAGCCATGATTTATAGAAAAATGACCACATGCTTGAGGGTTAGGACAATGTCAAAGTATTATAAAAAGTTCGTAAATGCCTACTCTTGAGTTCGGTAGTACTTGTTGACTCACACACAAATAACAAATAGTTTGCAGACTAGCCCCAGTCCACACACCATACTTTGAGTAGCATTCTGGTAAGGCAGGGTGAAGAGATAAAGAGAAACAGATTCCTATTCATTATTTGCATAGTGTACCTGGATCTACCTAAATACAAACAACCCTAAAATGGCTTAAGTGAGTTGCTTAATTTAGCTCAAGTTGGGTTTCTGTCACTACAGACTTGAAGCAATCTTTATTAAAACACACAGCTAGGATGCTGCCAATCATTCTTTCTAAAACCATGGCTGGCATCATTAATCCGTCACAGCATTCTGTCCCATAATATTCAGACACTGCATCAAAGTTCTTCTAAATATAGTGTTCAATGTAGCCGTTAGCCGAAAATCAGAGTTTCCAAAGTCATTTCAACCTACCTAGTATTCCTGAAGCCCTCCTCCTGATATCTTACACTTAGTAAGTCCTTGCTTTTTTCTTTGTTTTGGCATATGTTTAACAAAGCAAGTTCTTGCTGTCTATGCAAATTTCATGTACTTTGCTTCTCATGTAGCCAGAAAGTAAATAGAATCCAACTGTGAATTCAGTTCTTACCTGTCGCAAATCATACACAGTTAAGACAATGGAGATAACAGACAGGATGATGATGGCGACAGAGTATTCTATGTAACCTTGAGACATCCACAGAGTCAATGTAAAGGCTTGGAACACATAAAATGGATTTAAAACCTGCAGGTACAAGAATAACATTTAAGTCACTTATAGTTAAGATGATGTCATTTCTTTATAGAGTTGTATTTCCCATTTTTTATACCATCCAACAACCTCTACTATTTCAGAATGCACTTAGAAGTGCATTAATTTCGGTGGAGGCAATGTCAAGAACATAGAATGTAATAAGGTGGAAACAAAATTATTTTAATCACTCAAAGGCATGGCCACAAATTGATCATTATTATTTTGAATTTTCAAAAATACATTACCAATATAAAAATTCAACAATTTACATTTTTAAACATATTTACCCATAGTGGTGGAGAAACTGTATTTAGTTTCATTTTTAAACAAACTTCATTTTGAACACTTTTAGTGCAGGTTTTGTTTCCCCCCTCGTTATCACATGCTATAGATTTAGTCAAACGGTGCAATGAAAATTAAAGGTTCTAATTTTACCCGGACATTTTAAAATAACCTACTCTTATGTTACAGATCTTAGAAAGATCCTCTGACAGCCAGTCAAGTCAGCATAGGCCTTCCTTTGAACAGGAGAAGCAGTGAAGAAAAAGGTCTTAGCCAAGTCTGCAGTAAAAACCAGGGGCAGATTGCATTGCCAGCCCCAAAGCTAGATATCTATGCAGGTATGATTTCTCTATTAATGATAGTAGCAGAGCAACCTGAGGGGGCAGTGCTAGAGATGGTCAGGTGACACACACAAGTAGTGAGAATTAAAGAGCCCATCTGAGCAAAGCAAGGATTCTTTCCTTGGTGAAGCACTCTTTATGATGATTATAAATTAGATGAAATACCTAAAACCAGTGCCATTCTTTCTTACCTCTATTTTTCTATAGTTCTCTAATATGTTAATTACACTTCCACTTTAGTCCTAAAAATGAACTGATATCTGGTTAAGAAGTGCATAGGCTGTACCTTAAGAGTTTCTTAAACCCTTAGGTATATTTTGTACATTAAAAAAAAGCTTTTGTCCCTTAATGGTTTTGTTCCTTAATGGTATTATTTCTATTGCACAATGACTTTATTGGTTTACAAATTATAGCTTTTCTGGTTGCTTGGCATAAAATGTTCTAATTGTAGATTATGCATTAATGATAATATGATTTCCAGTTTATAAACTCAGTAGAAAATTTGTTAAATACTTCTTGTTAAATACCATCATAATTAATGTAGTTCTCTTATTCAATATTGTTTTGAAACCAAATGTGAGAAAAACAGTTTTACTTGCTTTTTTTCTATTAAAGGCCTGGTAAGTAGGTGCCAGAAAAGTACTAGCACTTCTTTCAAAATAGATCAATTGACACCTGGGAGAGTGTTTGGCAATTTGAATTCAATGTACTTGAATAAGAAGTTTAAGAAGCAGCCTGCTTTTCCAGAATGGCAGAGTCTGTGTATATGTGGGGACAGGGGGTAAGTGGGAAATCTCTGTCCTTTCCACGCCATTTTGCTGTGAACCTAAGGTAAAGAGTCTAATAAAAATTTATTTTATAAAAGATATGACCATGATCAAAAATAAAATAAAATTACCATAGTTGTGGATTAGAAATAGACTAGAAACATGCAACTGAGTGAGGACTAACGTGATCAGCCTACTGAGTTCCAGACAAGGACAGAAGAGGGATAGACAGAAGCTCAGTTGTGGTGGGACTAGACAGAAAGTGTCCCATAAGTGGCAGGGGACAAAACCCAAGCTTGCAGAGCAAAACATGGGTAGCAATGGGGTTCCCCTGCCCAAGAGCAGAGGTTGAGAAAAGTCATAACAAGCAGTGGTTCACCAGTGGAGAGTGAAGTAGGACAGAACAGAGATCATGGTGCAATTCTGAACTTGTCCAAGCCCCAACCTGGCTCAGCACCTGCACCTCACAGGGCGCAGACCCAAACCTCCTGTACAGGCCCTATTTCTGAACTGGGGACCTGAGGGGACCAGTAAGAGGCAAAATGCAGAGCCACTAAAGAGGGAGAGTGAGTACAGAAAGACAGACAAAAATTAAGGAGGAGGGGAAATCCCACTTGAGATGAGTTTACTAAAAAGATAAAATAACTTCAAAGCACACAAAGAAAATAATCTAAAAAACAAACAAAAATCTGCCTACAAAGGAGGAAGTCATTCTCAGAAAATGGAAACAGCAGAGCAATATTTTTAAAAAAGACCAAAATAGTATGTCTAAAATCCTCAAAAACATCATAGCAATCTAAGCATTGCCCCCCCTCACCATAATCACTATAAAAATTTTAAGAAAAAAAACAGGAGATTATGAAACAGGACTCTTCCCTCAGACTGGGAAGAGATGTTTTAAAATAGATTTGAATTTAAAACAAGTGATTATTGAAAGGGACCAACTAGAAATCCTGGAACAACAATATATATTTTAAAAAATATTTTTTTTAAAATAGGAAACCTCAATAGGTAAGAAAGGCATAGACTAAAGGCAATGGGGTAATAACAAAAGGAATTTGCATGAAAATAGATTTTTCACATCAAAATACCTGTGTGTTGCTTAAGATTCCCCTGAGTAGTAGAAAATAAAAAGTAAAAGATGGGATAAGAAGAGAGAGTTGAATGTTTGGCAAGACAGCCAAAATAACTTGTTTTTAAAGGAAAAAAAAGGTTTATTGTGATGGTTCATTTTATGTGTAAACGTGGCTAAGATGTAGTGCTCAGTTTGGTCAGGCCTTAGACCAGATGTTGCTGTGAAGGTATTTTGCAGATGTGATTAACCTTTACAATCAGTTGACTTTAAGTATATGAGATTGCCCTTCATAACATGGGTTGAAAACCTTAAGAGCAAAAACAGATTTTCCAGAGGAGAAGGAATTCTGCCTTAAGATTGCAATATAGAAATCCTCCTGAATTTCCAGCCTACCAGTTGCCCTACACATTTCAAAGGCAAGACAGTGACATCAACTCTTCTCTCAACTTCCAGACTGCCTCCTGCCCTACAGATTTCAGGTTTGCAAGCCTCCACAATTGTGAACCAACTCCTTCAAAAACATTCACATCTATATGTTAAAAAAAAAGTAAATGCTGAGAGTTTTTTTGTTTGTTTTTCAAAAAAGAAAGCAAAAGATATTTACCTGTTTAATAAGCAGCTTCCATATGGGTTGAATTTCCACCTCAATGGCATTGGGCCCACACACGAGTCTCCTGTAGGAGATTGGTCTTCGATTAGCATCATATTTCCAAACTCATGAATAAGTGAATACAGACCAAACTGAGCAGAAGTCACTTCTCTATCTTTTTTTTTTTTTTGGATCTTGTGCTTTCAATTACAAATGAATGTGTAAATCCTAAAAATACTAGTGTATTTTTAAAATGAAAGTCAATGCATAATGAGCAAAGCTGTTTTCCTGGGTTAAAAAATATCTTAAGTACAGAAAAGCTCAAGAGCCAAATGAAATTATAAAATTATTTTGAGTTGATTTTTAAAATAAATTGATTATAAAATCAGCTAAACACACACACACACTCTCACACAAATAAACAAAACAAACCCACACACACAAAAACACCACAGACATGAAGATGTCCCTGGAATGTTCAGGCATTCTAGATTACTCTTGATGTTAGGGATCATGTCTGTCTTACCTTGTTCTCTCCAGCACCTACCACAGGCCCTTAGTGTATGAACTCAAAAAATACATGGATGAACGAGCCACAAATGAAGATCATATATGGTCTTCATGACTAACATCTTGCAATTCCAAACATATGTACATTACAACAAGAAGCCCTCGTGTTTGCACAGCATTTTATAATTTATAAAGCTCTTACAAAAGATTCTCCCATTTGATCCTCACAATAGTCCAGAGGAAAGGGCTAATATCCCCATTTTTCCAAAGGGAGAAACCATGGAGAGTGCATGTTTTGTCAAAGGTGCATAAATATAACATAAATAATGGCAGTGTGACTTTTGAGCAGAGATGACAGTTCAGAAACCACAGTTAGTCTTTTTAAAATATATTTTATTGATTTATTACAGAGAGGAAGGGAGAAGGATAGAGAGTTAGAAACATCGATCAGCTGCCTCTTGCACACCTCCTACTGGGGTTCTGCCCGCAACCAAGCTACATGCCCTTGACCGGAATCGAACCTGGGACCTTCAGTCCACAGGCCGATGCTCTATCCACTGAGCCAAACCGGTTAGGGCCGCAGTTAGCCTTTTATACATTACCTCCTTTAATCACCACATTATCCCATGAGATTTTAGATTATCATCTTTATTTAAAGATAAATGAAGTTCAGAAAAACTAAATAGTTTTTCCGGACTACCAGAGTTAGAAAGAAGCAGAGCCATGCTTCGCTTCACAGCATGGTCTCTGTGACTCCACTTCTCACTCTGCCTCCGAAAGGACCAGGGGTCAAAATCTGCAGAGTGGATCTTTGGTCTAAAGCAGCGGTTCTCAACCTGTGGGTCGCGACCCCTTTGGCAGTCAAACGACCCTTTCACAGGGGTCGCCTAAGACCATCCTGCATATCAGATATTTACATTACGATTCATAACAGTAGCAACATTACAGTTATGAAGTAGCAACGAACATAATTTTATGGCTGGGTCACAACATGAGGAACTGTATTTAAAGGGCCAGAAGGTTGAGAACCACTGAAGTCTAAGAGGAAGTAAGCCCACGTTTGTCTGACTTATAAGCCTTGTTGCTCCAAGTAAAATTATTACTTGCAATGGTCAGAGAGGACTCAATCCAAGGCCTTCAGGCTCCGTGCCATGAAAACACTGAGGTTCACAGATGTTGGGAAGCAGAGAGGTAGAACTGCATGTGCTGCTGTTTGACCTCACAAGTCCCTGAACCTCACACTGGAAAGAGACTGAAGTGATTTTGGTGCTAAGGATTTTTTTTTTCCAGGATTCACGGAAATAACCTGTTTTAGCCCAAGGATCAGAGCTCCTCGGGATTGCTGAACTTGGTCTTCTCTCTGCTTAGAATGCCTTCTCCACATTCTTCACTTTGTAAAAGCCTTCCCAGCCTTTGAGAGCCAAATCTGGCAATAGAGCCTAGTGGCTGAAAATTTTGAGATAAAACAGACCTGGGTTTGAATCCAGCTAAGACTTTGTACTTGCTTCCTGCTCATGAAATGAGTTTTCCCCACATCTTTGCATGGCTCACTTTCTCATTTCATTCAGGTTTCTGTTCAGATAACACCTCCTTATTAGAGCCTTCCCTAATAATTCTTGTTAAAACAGCTACCTCAACCCCCAGTCAGATTCTCTATATCTCCTCAACCTATCTCATTTTTCTTTAAGGTGCATTTGATAATCTAAAATTACATATTACTTTTTTTACATATTAATGAGTATGCAAACTGTAGACTGTATATCCACTGCAATATAGCTTCTAGAGGACGCTGACTGATCCTGAATGCATACACTAGGGTGGAATACATATTCTGCATTCAAGAATGTTTTGTTGAATGAATGACTAGGTGAATGAGAGGTGAGCCTTGATTCCCTATGGGTGAAATGGGTTTGATAATACAGGCCTAATAAAATTGCTATCAATAACAGGTGAAATAAATACATAAAACATTTAGCATAAGTGCCTAGGACATGACCAATTGAAGTCTTCCCTACTCCAAAAAAGCCTTTTTTTTTTCTTAATAATAGCATTACTTCCTTGAATTGTTGTTACATATAGTTACACGCCTTTCCCTTAAATTTCCTAAACACTCTTTGATGGCATGGATAGAGCTTTTTCAACTCTGTTTTTCTAGCATCTAGGAGCAGTGTCTGACACAGAGAATGTTCTCTAAATGTTGAACTTAATCAGTGAGGACCTCTGTGACCCATGTCTAGAATACTCTCCCCTAGTAGGGCTAAAAACCCAGTTTGCAGAACTACAGCAGCACACAGGCTGGGGAAAGTCAATTCAGAGAGGAACAGGCCCACGGCCCGATGCACTTCAGCTTTCCCTATGTGGTGAGATGGTCTCTGATGTTACTAGTAAGGGAGAGAAGCTTAGCAACCATGAGGACTGAGATCCAGAGGATTAAACTTGCTGAAGATTACCCTCTTTAGGGCTTATCTGGGCCTTGTTGGAATGCCCCTTGCTGCTTCATCTTTTCCAGTATCTCTTGCCAAAAATATTGTGTGTTTAGGGATTGTGTGCTCATCTCAGTCTCAGCACAAGCCAAACAGAACTTTCAGGGACAATGACCAATGGCTGAGCAAAGGAACATGAGGCTTGAAGCTGGGTCCCCCGAGGAAAATTCCAAGGAACAAAGCAGATTATATGCCCTGACTTTAAAATCTGATGAGCTGCCAGGGAAAAGAGGCCAGAGAATTATTCCAGGGGGCCTTGCAATACTAAATAGGCTGAATGCAACTAAGTAGACTTGCCTAATATTCAGAACTAGTCATTATAGGAATAGTTGGTTTGGAGATAGAAGATTCCCTCTCCAAAAGAGATTGAAGAATTTTTAACAGGGAAGTTATGGAGAGATTTTCTGCACCAGCTGTAAGCTAGACTTTCTACAATCGTAAGATATTAGTAAATCTACTACAATCTATTTATTTATGAAAATCAAAATGTAAATAAATAGAAATCATTTCTTTTGGAGATGGTCTGTGTTTTTTTTAATTTGATCATGCGTACATCCATTCATTCATTTATCAATTTATTAGCCAAACTAGAGGCCTAGTGCAAGAAATTCATGCACTCAGGGGCAGGAGGGTCCCTCAGCCTGGGCTGCACCCTCTCACAATCCGGGAGTCCTCAGGGGATGTCCGTCAGTCGAACATCCTTAGCACTGCTGCAGAGGTGGGAGAGGCTCCTGCCATCACCACTATGCTCGCCAGCCGTGAGCCTGGCTTCTGGCTGAGTGGAGCTCCCCCTGTGGAAGCACACTGACCACCAGGGGCAGCTCCTGCATTGAGCATCTGCCACCTGGTGGTCAGTGTGTGTCATAACAATCGGTTGTTCAGTTGATTTGCATATTAGCCTTTTATTATATGATAATTGCTGAGAATATGTTGTGTGTTAGATGCTTTAGGCTCCATTTGGTGAAGACTAGAGTGGTCTTGACCAGAGAAGGACTGTGTTAGAATTGGTGAGCTTTTCTCAAGCTACATATGACTGCTCTGCTTCCATTTTGATAAGCCACCAATAGAATGGGAGACTTGTAGTTTTCGAAGCAATTAATGCCATGCCATCACACACTCTGTGAACTCTGGAGTTTTTAGGAAGCAGATTTATAGAGTTTTTAAAAATTCCCACACATGAGGGTCTGGAAAGCAGAAGACCAGGAGAGCAAGGGGTGGAAATGGGGGCTGAGAAAACCCAGGAAGGATCTCCCCAGGGTTACCCAACCCTTAGGCTTACTGGTGTCACCATAGTCCTTTGCTCTGAACAAGGCATTGAGGTTAAATGATTTTATATCTTGAATGTACTCATACCCATAGAACCAAGGATGTGACAAATACAATTTATCTAAAAGAGAATGTGGATCTGAGTGGCTCATTCAATTTGTACTAAATACCCTATGAAAACTATAATATTTTAACTACTTTATTAACTTCTAACTAAATGTTAAACATTGCCTCTCTCCTCTACTCCAACCAACACTTCCTTCCTAAGCATGAGTGTCTATAATTGGAATGTTTTCTAGGAACAGAGCTTGTGAAGAGGATAAAAGTCATGGTATAAAAGCATGATTTCTGTTCTGACTTTTACTACCCACAAACCTGAGGAGTAAAAGAGTAGGGTCTCAAAGCAACCCTAATCCCTTTCTCTCTCCTGCCTCCCTCTTGATTCTTCTTTCTCTCTGTTTCAATAATCTCTCTTCTCCTGGAAAGCTTCCACCAGCTTGGGGCTGAGCATTAATAGAATTGCTTTCCTCTGGTACTAACAGGCATGCCTTTTTGCTCAATGGTGTGACAAATGTTGAAAATTAAGTTTGGCCCTGAAGAACCACTGAGCCTAAGGTAAGCATCTCTTTTCCACTCCACATTCAGAGATGTCACACCATTGGATGGAAATCAGCCATGGTGAGAGTAGTTCCATTACAGAAATTGGCAAACTCTACCCATCAAAGCTTTTTTCCCTTCAGAGAGCTGGGTTACCAAGAAGGTAAATTGTTTGGAGCTAATGCCATTAGGAGGTGTCTGCTATCTCCACTGCCAGAAAGTTCCCCTTGTCTTTTTAGGAGATTAAACAAAGGAGACAAGAGGAGGCATGGGCTGAGTAAAGAGAAAATGAAGAGATGCTCAATTTAAAAACTGTCCTAATAGGAAGACTATGAGATGGATGGGAAGTGAGTAGACTTGTTCTTCCCATAGAGCCCTGTTTCCATGAGATAAGAGAATTAACTCAAGTGTCCATGGACCTGTTGAGGACCAATTCCAAGAAGAAAACTTGCATTGAGTTCATGAATGAGTGAAGCTAGGAGCATGAAACCTCCTGGAATAATCTTGCTTTCATTCTGATGCCCTTTGACAAATTCTCTCCATGGTAAAGGTATCTCTTTTCATGCCCTGATTTATTTTTTGCTACTTAAAAGTGAGAACTATGTAAATCTGTGTATTTTCTCTCCTTTCTTGGCTACTTGGAAGGCTAAATAAGAGACTAAATTTAGACTGTGGATTTTCATCATCCAAGATTTTTGGGTATTTCTCTTCCTTTATTTCTCATATCATGCCCTTACTTTTCATGCAAGCAAGCCCAAGGAAATTGATATCACTCAACCAGTCAGATTTATTTTTTAAAAGGTTAGTTTTACACTAAAAAAATGAGGGGAAAAATAGGGATAAAATGTTCCATATTCTATTTATTGCCATTACCCTCCAAAGAGATAAGCCCATAAAATAAAATGTGCCTATATGTTTATAAGTAGATTATCTCCTCAATTCTTTGTATTTGGAAAACTGTACTCTGTCTTGTTTATTAGATTGTCAAGTTCTTTATTGTGTGGAGCAGATTTAAATTTAATTATGTATGATGTTTATCAAAGCCTGGGCTTGATAAATAGGGACGTGTGAGGTGGCTGCACTGATGGAAATCTTTCCTGCAGAAATGGTTTTCTCTACAATATATCTACATTTATCAACTAGATTTCCTAAATGCCCTAGATCAATCTTTTAAAGTCTTGTGCTTAATGCTATTAAATCAATATGTTTTAATGAGTTTGAAAACTTTTTGTACTCAATATATTAACCATTGCATCTGAAATCTCATGTAATGATACCATTTTAAAGGCATTTTGCAATATTGTCATAGTCTAGATGCTTGCTTCATTTTTTCATAGTGTTCAATCAAAGAGAAAACTTACAAACAATAGATGAGCAATTCTCAGACTTGAGGTGCATAAGAATTATGAGGGTGCCTGATAAGTAAGCAGTTTCTTCTCTTATCACTACTTCTACCTACTAAATCAGAATTGTGGGAGTGGAGTTCAAGGACCTGTATTTTAAGCACCAAATGTCTTCATGGCTTTAGAATTAGTGTTTCTGCCTGACCACAAAGAAGGTCAGGCAGATAATGTCCCTAAAATTGGGCAAGAAATGAAGCTGCTTATTAAAATTTTGGGGAAGGCTTGCAGTGGTTTTCTTGCAGATTCACCAGGATTTTCTACTTCAATTTATAGATGAGGAAAGTGAGGATTCTAGAGCACAGTGAGTTAATGCATAGCATAAGCATTTCCTATGCTACTGCCATTATTCTTAACCTTTGTGCTACTAGAGATATCATTCTCACAATCGTACAACTATTCTTTTTCTCTAGTCAGTAAATGTCCCTGGGATGATGACTAAGTCTTATTTGTTTTGATATCCCTAGTGTCTTGCAAACTGCCTGGCATATTAGAGGCATTTTGTTAATAGATCCATGAATGCATTCATGTATTCATTCATTCATTCCACAAATATCTGTCGAGCTCCTATCATGAATCAGACACTGTCCCAGGTGCTGCAAATACAGTAGCACCAACCAACTGAGCAAACAAAATCCTCATCTCCAAGGGCTGTTCTTTAAAGTAAAATGCAATCATAATACTGTCTTTGTCTCTCTGAGGATGGGAGGATTAAGAAGCTGTTGTTTATGAAATGACTCAAAACGTTTTTGAGAAAAAAATTAAAAAGACAACACAGAGAAAACTATTGTACAATCCTGAAAGAAAGGATCAAATGTTATTGGATTGCATGGTTCTTTTAGTCGTTTCTTTTTAATAAGTTTGCCCATGATGTGAACAATTTAGAATATCTCTTCTGATACCAGCAAATGAGCTGGGATTATATGAAGTTGACGAAGCATTATGCCAACAATTCACTGAGCACACGCCATTTGATATTACACTTTCTGCTGGCAGCATTCTCTCAGGGGGCACTGCAAACCTTACCTGACCTCCCGCTCTTCATGGGTCAGACCCAGGCCGAACATATGATGGATGTCATAGCAGGAGTGGCTGTCTTCCAGCAACCTAGGATGCGGTCAGGACAGGAACCACACTTCAGTTCATGGCATGCAACAAATCAGTGTTCTTCCCTTATATTCTGATGCAGAACCAAGAAGTCAGACTTACCCCACTTTCTGAAATCTCTTCTCCAAGTTGTCCCAAACATACCTAATTTTCTGCACTTGGATACATCGTAGCTGCAATGACAAATGTGATAGGAAATACGTCATTCACAAAGTCAAGCTTATCAGGGAAGGGGAGGCTTGTTTAATGAAGGTCCCCACACAGCCCTCCCTTTTGTGAATAGATAGCTATAATTCCCAATCCAGCCATGGGATATTCAAACCTTCATATAATAGACACTTACATTACTTCTTTTGGAAAAAACTTGCCATAACAATGCAATCTTAAAATCACTTACTTTTAATTCTGGTTTCAAAATGGCATGGTTTATGACAGAGTGGCGGTCAGCTACAAGGGGTTCTTCCGGGTTTTTGCTTACAGGAAACTTCAGTGTGGATAAGTAGAGGCAGATCACTTTCTTCCTGATATATCTTTGAAATTCATCCTAGATATGACAATCCAGCCTGTGAAATTCTCAACTGTTATTCAGTACGGCACTCAATCAACCAAATCCCTGCCAAGTGCCAGACCAGTGTTTCCCAAAGTTTGGACCACAGACAAGAGCATCAACATTATCTTGGAAGTTGCTAGAAATGCAAATTTTCGGTCCCACCCAACACCTACTGAATCAGAACTTCTGGTGTTAAGGCCAACAGTCTGTGTTTTAAAGAGCCCTCCAGGTGATTCTGACTTGCACTAAAATGTGAGAACCACTGTGCTGGAGAATAAAGAGAAAAATAGACTTTTCAAGAAAACCTTCTATTCAGAAAATAGTTTCTGGCTACCTCAAAAGCACATCTACATGTTTAAATGTCTAATTTCCCTCAGAATACATACTTTTGAAAGACTGAACGATCATTCCCTTGTTATGTTTCTAAGAGCTGTAACACTGGCAGCCACTGTTCATGTAATTGCTAAGAGCATTGCCAACTATCCTGACATGGTAGAAATTTCCCCAGTCTGACATGCAAGAAATGGCCTTCATTCCTGGGTTAAAATAAGAGATGTCAAATAGATTGCAAAGGTGGTTTTGCCATCTCCTATTTTGGGACAGGAAAATTCTTTAAATGAAGAAAGCTCTCCCCTTTGAAGTGCTAGCCAGTCACTGGTTGTGCCACAAATGCAACACAATAAGGTACCCACAGTTGTCCTTAGCAGAACAGTATCTGCTTCTTGCAAGGGGCACGGGATGCAAGTGGCCCACACTCTCCACTGGGGCCTCCAGTACAACACCAGCATAAGGACCCCACAAGTCAGCACCGATGCTATAAGGCAGACGGCTCTGCGAAGACTCTGGGTCTGGTAACCAAACACCTCCTGCAGAGAAATAAAAGATCACTCTATCTTTATTTTTTCACATAAACATATCGTTTTGTTCCTAGAAACAGACTTTAGATGTGGAAGTGTTGATGGGGAGAGAAATGTGACTTTGGCTGAATTAGATTGATTGCTTACAGCTGTGAGCTGATAGAGTAAAAAGGGGGTGGAGGGCTCATTTTACTACCCTGGCATATGGAACTAAGACATTAGACAGGAAAAGCAAGGAAGGGTCAGAATTATTTGGTTCTATATACATACTCTTAAGAGTCACCACATAATTTTATAAAATACTTCATGCTCTCTACCAGTTCTATTTTCTTTAAGTATAAGTTTTTAAAAAGTATTAATATCAATTTACTAGAGGAAGATGATAAAATAATGACAGAATATGATCCACACTTAATTCAAATTCAGCTTTGTTTAATGATAACAGGATTGAAAATAATTAAAAGTATTAACTCTACTACTTTCTGAACCAGTAGGATGATATAAATTAAGAGATTATTTGTGACATGAAAGACTTTCAAAAGACAGCTTAAAGGTATTCACTCAAAGCGTAATTTGATGAAATAGTTCTACTTTTAGTAATAGGTTAGTTAATATTTGTTTATAAATTGAATAAAGACTTAAGATGCAATTTTAGGGGAAAACAAGTAGCCCAAAATAATATATTTGTTTGTTTAAAGCCAATTTATAGTTTCCATCTTCTACAATGAAGATTCACAGTACTGTATAGTTTTTTAAATTTTATTTCTAAAACTAGATTTTTCAGACAATAAAATGGTGGTAACCAGGAGATTGATGGGTGAGGAATAAGAGTGATGGTGTCTAAAGGTACAAATCTATAATGAGTACAACAATAGCCATAGAGATTTAATGAACATAGACAATAATATTGTACTATAAGTATGTAATGTGATAAATATTACATCAGCAACCATACTACAGTATATAAGTATACTAGAGGCCCGGTGCACAAATTTGTGCACCAGTGGGGTCCCTTGGCCTAGCCTGTGCGATTGCGTCAAAACGAAACCAGCTCTCCGACATCCCCTGAGGGGTCCCGGATTGCAAGAGGGTGCAGGCCAGGCCGAGGGACCCCACCGGTGCACAATCTGGGCTGGGGAGGGATGTGGAAGGTGGCCAGCCAGGGAGGTATGGCGGGAGGGCTCCAGGGTGTGTCTGGCTGGTCTTGCTCAGTCCCAATTGGCCAGACCCCAGCAGCCAGCTAGCCTACTGTTTGGAGCATCTGCCCCTGGTGATCAGTGCACATCATAGCGAGCAGTTGAGCGACCTTAGCACATCATTAACATGTTACACTTTGATTGGTTGAACAGACGACTGGACGACTGGACACTTAGCATATTAGGCTTTTATTATATAGGATTAAAGAAACATGCTACCTTAAATTTATACAATATTACCTGTCAAATTTTTCCAATAAAGCAGCCTAGATTTTTAGTGTATTTGGAAGAGCCTGAGGGATGCTGATTATGAATGACATTGTTGCTATGCTATGATTTTAGGTTCTGCTATTATTTGTGTGTGTGTTTTTCTATGACTCTGAACTCCTACGTCCAGATCATAGGGCTGTAATGTCAAGGAAGTAAGTTTTCACTGAGTTTCTGAAGCACTTTCAAATAATAGGATCTTCTGAATTTTATACCAGTTTAGATTATGTTATAATAAATCTCTTGGCTGTATCCTTTGGAAAAGTTTTCATCTTCAATATGGTTATTTTCATTAAGCTTTTCTAATAACTCTGTGGTAGATGAAGATTTTAATAACAAGCGTTGACAGCAATCCTTAAGCATAGTGGAGAGGTCACAGGCTTAAGAAACAAAAATGTAAACTTAAGTCACCTGCCTGCCAGTTATCAGTTATGTGAACTTAGGTAAATCCTTTCACCTCTAGGGAATCCCAATTTACTCCTATACAAAAAAAAAAAAAAGTAGAAATATGTGCCTTACAGGGTACTTATGCTCAAATGAGATAATGTCTCCTCAAGTGCTCTGCAAAGTAATTACAATTTTGAGTTCCTTTCCACTGTTCCTCAGCACTATCACCCACCTGAGGAAAGATATTCATTAAATTTAGTGATGCAGCCACTGTATTTTGAGATTATTCACACTAAGGTTTAAATGTTACTTAGAAGCATGTGTTCATTCTGCTTTTAAGCATATTTTCAGTTGGTCTCCTTTCTCCCTAAACTGCCTTCTGATTCTATAAACCTGTTTTGGTTTTATTTGTGAACTTACTTATTTATAGTTTTATTAGTTTTATCAAATAAAATGTATGTGCCAGTGCACATATTATGTCATAAATAATTGAAAGTATTAATAACTGTACCAGTAGGAAGATATAAATTAAGAGATTATTTGTGGACATGAAAAACTTTCAAAAGACAGCATAAAGGTATCACTTATTTTACTAAGTGATATAGAGGGGTTTATTGCCAAAGCCCCCAAGTGTGTGCAAAATAGTTGAAGAAGAGTTAGAAATTTTAGTCCAGCTTATAGTAAAAATGACATTTGTAAATGACTTTTCCCCTTTCTGTTTATGTACCCACATCAATGACATTGGTAATCACAATTCTGATTCCTTTCCATTCTTTTTTATACAACAACTTTTTATTTTAAAAAAGGAACTCATAATGCTGGCAAGGCTGTTGAAACCACTACAGCTACATACTGCTAATAAGCTTATAAATTAGAATAATTATTTAGGAAAAGCAAGGTGACAAGAATTATATCAAATTGAATCAAGAATTATAAGGATGTTTCTATTCCTTGAACCCGTGATTCCATACCCTAAGAAAACACACCCTAAAAAGTACACCTTAAGAAAATATGCATGAAGTAGAAATTTGTGTATATAAAGATGTTTGGTGCAGAATTATCTGTAACAACAAAAGTTATTGAAACAACAAAATGATAACTAATGATGCAGTAAGATGTGAAACATCAAAACGATGAGGAGCCACTAAAAACAAAATGCATAATGTCAAGGTAAACACATGGGACATTCTGTGATATAATATTAAGTGAAGAAAATAACAAAGAACAGGTTGAATAGATGGAGAACAAAGAACAATATTATGAACTTTAACTCAATTATATCAGTAATTACATTAAATGTAAATGACTTTAATTGTATGATTGAAAGCAAAGATTGTCGGGCTAAAATAATAAAAGAGGAACCACTATGTGCTGTTTACAAGAGACATATTTTAAATATAAAGAAGCAGAAATGAATTATTTAAAAGAAGCAGATAGCGTAAAAGGAGGAAAAAAGGGGAAATGTGCCATGCAAAGACTATCAAAAGAAAATAGAGTCAAGGTTAGTAATGGAAACAGGCTGTGTTCCAGAAAAACCCAGATCTGCCGCCACCTATGAGCTATATTCATATCAGATAATTGACTTT